ATTCCTGCTTTGTAATATTACCATTAAATACCATCCACCTCCACTTCTCCAACATGTAGGTAAAAGGCATCGTTCCAACAATCGTTAGTGCTTGTTTGAGCAGAAAGTTGATTTCGGTTTCTGAAGACAGAAGCAGTTAAGATAACGGTTATGGTAGCAATTAGTATATGATTAGACAGCTACAGCTGCTTCCTTTTACAGCTAATGCTTACATCTAGTTTAATTGACAGTTTTTCACTAAGGAAAAAGATGGAAAGAAAAATACTAGTGAAAAAACATGACAAAATATCACTGAAGTATTGTATATAATTGTGTTATCTCTTTTTTTTCATGCAGTTCTACCTGTTAAATAATCTATCCCTTTGGCATTTAACCTTCATTTTCCTCCAATCCAGAATCTGGGAAATTTTGTACTGAAATTTTTCGTATATTACATTATAACTATGGACATACTCAGAGAAGCCAGACAAACTGCATTATAATGAGGGCTCCTGTCACCTATGTTGGCCACTCATTATCCACGTAAATGAGAGATGCAAATCTTAAGGCTTTAGTCTCATTTGAACTGCTAAATACATTCCTTGGCAGAGAGAGGTACATGTGGCTTTATGCAACAGAAAATGGGGAGTATTCAAGGCTCATCTAAGTGAACTATGAAGATTTTGCAATGAATAGTTTTATTCTGAAGGTAATGAAGAGCTAACAATTTGTTTCTAAATTATGCAGCTGCATTACAAATGAATGTCCCTCACTGTGTGATGTGATTTGGGGAAAAAAGTATTATTTTTGATAAATCACTGAGGTAGCTTTTCAAAAGCCTCTACATTTGACACTGTCTCCCATCACATCCTCCTAGGTAAGCTCAGGAAGTGTGGGCTAGACGAGTGGACAGTGAGGTGGATTGAGAACTGGCTGGATGGCCGAGCTCAGAGGGTTGTGGTCACTGGTGCAGAGCCTAGTGGGAGGCCTGTAGCTAGCAGTGTCCCCTACGGGTCAGTACTGAGTCCAGTCTTGTTCAATGTATTCATCAATGACCTGGAGAGAGGGACAAGAGTGCACCCTCAGCAAGTTTGCTGATCATACTAAACTGGGAAGAGTGGCTGACACACCAGAAGACTGTGCTGCCTTTCAGAGGGACCTGGACAGGCTGGAGAGATGGGCGGAGAGGAACCTCCTGAAGTTCCACAAAGGCAAGTGCAAGGTCCTGCACCTCGGGAGTAATAACCCCATCTACCAGTACAGGCTGGGGGTTGACCTGCTGGACAGCAGCTCTGCGAGAAGGACCTGGGAGTGCTGGTGGACAACAAGTTAAGCATGAGGCAGCCATGTGCCCCTGTGGCCAAAGAAGGCCAAGGGGATCCTGGGGTGCATTAGGCAGAGTGTTGCCAGCAGGTGGAAGGAGGTGATCTTCCCCCTCTCCTCAGCCCTGGGGAGGCCTCACCTGGAATACTGTGTCCAGCTGTGGGCTCCCCAGTACAGGAGAGACATGGCACTCCTGGAGAGAGTGCAGCAGAG